ATTTACTTCTTGAAGGCTGTGTCTTACCGTTGATGTGTCGTTGAATTATGTTTTACTACGGTCCATATGACGTCAAAGACACCAATGGCGAACGCGAAAGACGCGACAGCGATGAAGACGGAAACAATCTTTAGAACAGTTTAACTTCTCGACATCAAATAATCAATGAGTGGCAGCTATACGCACCCCAATGCCCGCGATATCCGGCTCGGGAGGGACTTCGCCGCGCTCATAGCCAGCGATAGTCTGGAATCCTCCAGAGTCGTTGGGGGTGACACTGCAGTCCACAGTCGTGTTGTAATGGCTCTTACACTGCGCTATCGATATGGAAGCTCCCATGATGGTTCACTAAGGTGGCTTGAATCGCGGTCACTAGGACATCAAAAGTAAGAATAAGCCTTGCAGGTCGTAGACTGGTTGTCGGCCAATGAAGGAAACCCCCTGAGATTTTATATCATTTTGATGCTCTTATGAGATTCCGCGTTCCCAAAATGGTGACAAGGCTGGCCTCAAGCTTTCTCGTTTCATCGTCGAGGTAGAAAGGGTGACTCAAGCAGGCTGGGTGGGAAACACAGCATGCTTATTATGGCATTCTCATTCTGTACCCTCTAGCCGCAAAAAACCAGGGATTAAGCTACCCTCCATGTCAGACTAAGCTGCACTTCATCTCAGCCCCGACGAGTTCGGGGTAAGCTAACATACTGTTCTCCAACGCCACGTGGGGGCTATAGCGGATTATAGCTAGCTTTTACCGTTTCAGTTTGCAAGCCTACAGCTATGGCCCAGGCTGTAGGATTCATCCGCGTGGTGTGCGTTCACTATAATGTTGAGGCTTCAATGGTGGTGCTGTGAAATGTCTGCAAGTTGGTTCATGCAGGCTGTGTAGATGTAGGTAATCGCGGCTAGACGTCTTGAGAGCTAGGTGGCAGCATGCAGGATGGCGGTGGCTCCCAAAAGTACCTTCGGGCTAAGATTGACAGGACATGTAGGCCATGAACAGCGCGAAATTCCTAATAAGTGAGACATTAGGCAATCATCACGAAGAACTGCTGCCCCTTTACGTCTTGCGGAATCGGCCCAATACGAGAACATGGGAGAGGGGGCGTTGGGAGATGGGAGATGGGAAGTCCAGGAGGGGCCGAGATCGAGAAGTGTTCATTCATGAGGCGACAAGAACCATTCACTGCGAAACTTTTTGGATAGTCAGGTGCTTCGTTGATTCAAACATGCGAAAGCCTCAACTTTCCTCTGATCAAGGCCTAAACTGGCTACCAGCAATGATCGCCTGCAAAGGGTTGCTGGCCATATACGACAAGCCCAGCTTAGCTACCATAGACAAGAGCCCGGTCGCAAGCAACATAGCAATGGAAACTCCAAAGAGGCCAAATACCTCCAAATGTCCCATACCATTCGCAGGTCGCGGCCCATCTGCAGTCTCGGGGCCAGTCTTCGCATCGTGATGCGGCACATACTTGAACTCGTATTTGTATCCTCCCTTCAGGGTGTCCTTGTTCTCCACGATGTAATCCCAGAATAAAGCTCGGAATTTCTGACGACATTGGATCAGCACGTGAAAACCATTAGGCCGTCCTGTCCAACTACAGAGCGGGCTTACCTTAATTTGCCATCTATCCCAGGCAGGGATAGATCGCGACATATAAGTAATCACCATCAGAGTCCAGATGATACCTCTGATGACAGCATCCCAGTACAGACCGGGTTTGCCAAGTCCGACGTCATCACACATCTCATCTCCGTTGATGAAGCGAGTCCCAGCCTCGAAGAACTCTTTCGGCTCATGAATAGGAGCAACGCCGTCCAGAGCAATGACCAAGTTGTTGGCCAAGGCTCGAGAGTTCTTGCTCGGGGCAAGGCATGCTTTCAACAGCGACTCCATAGACGCCAATGCTCGTTCAGGTGTTTCCAAGATCCAGTGGGGAGTACCCAGGACGTAGCCGACCCATCGCCATAGAGCGAGGTAGTCCAGAGCTTCTTGATGGCGGACGTAGATACCCTGTCGAGGCAGAGCCAGCCATACGAGGTTGGTGGAGAATGCACACACAGATTGCATCGAGTCAAGTTCGTTAATGGGGACGCCGTATTTATCGACATCAAAGTATCCGGGACGCTGTGCGTTGAGCTTCAAGATTCGCCCTCGCACCGCGGCATGCAGTAGTCTGACGCGCACGGCTGAAGCGAAGCCTTCGCCTCCAGGCTTGATATCGTTGAGGGATTTTGTGACCTGGAGAAGGAGCTGAAATGTCTCAAAGAGTCTGTTCTTGGCGACTTTGGCGGAGTGACCGCCTGTACGAACCAACGTCTCTGCCGGTCGGTACGAGGCTCCCTGTTAGTAGATTGCATTAGCATTTTCGCCGCGGTTTCTCACATATGTGTCTTCTTCTCATCGCACTTACGGTCGTAGCCAGCAGTCCCTGGAACGCAAACCCAGTAACTGCAGCAGGCGCGTAGCGGTAAAAGACATCCTGCCCACGCTGGATCTGGTCCCAGTCGACCCACTCAGGCACGGCGTTGACTTCGTCCCAAAGCTTCATCAGTCTCGGATCCTTCTCGCGATGGTCCCGAAGCAGAGCGTATGTATCGCGATCAGGCTGCGGGTCTTCCTGCTTCCCCTTGGCGTACCACCCAGCTCGAGGCGGCGGGGGAGGGAACATGCCATCTAGAGCTGCGAGAGCTTCTGACCCCACTTCATCGAACTTATGCTTCAGGGGGTCAAGCTGCTCTGCTGACATGTGAAGCTCCGTTTGGCGAAACTTGTAGCCATATGAATCGATAAGAGAAGGCGCCATTATGATTCCATGCAGATGTGCAATGAGTCCTTGTGATTTGGTTAAACGTCAGGTCGAATTAACATGAGACGAGATTCTTTTCGAGAGGAACCAAATCAGAAAAGCTCTGCTCAACGCCTACATTTATATTCAGAGATCATGTTCCAGAACGCAGTGAGCTACCCATGCAACTGCGGCAGCACTAGTCCTAATCTGTGACATTCGTACAGTTGCCCAACGAGCGACCCTATCAACTTCCATCCCTGCGCATACCTCAATGTTCCACTCGTTCGAGACGGTCAACCAAAACTCCATACTGCATGTCAATTTGACTCCGTGAACAAGTTACATGCGACGTTGATGGTAGCATAGAAGGCGGAGAAACATCTGACAGGTCACTCTCCACCACGGCTGCTGCTGCGAGAGCACTAATTAGGTGGCAGGATAGCCGAGAAATGTCAGCGCCAAGGCATAGACTGCGACACATGGGAACCCGATTGTCATCATCCTCCCGTCTGACGGTCTCTTCATTGCTTTCAGTGACATATATTTCTGCCAATGAGAAGCGATTCAATCAATACCGCAGGGTATGCCTTCTCCTTGACTCTACTGGCTCATAACTGCGGTTCAAAGCGATACCCCGTAAGAACCGATGTTACAGAAGGGGTCTCACCCCAACACGCAGATATTAGCATCCCGCAGTTGAATATGCACCATGTGTTCAATGTTCACGCATCTCAGTACCGTGGACGAAACGTAATTGATCAATAGAATCCGCTTAATACAATGCTAATGCCACGCATCAAGAACGCTATAAAATGAAAGCCTCAGTCATTTAAGCGTTGACACAGCTGAAGTCAGACAGGCTGTAGTATCCACACTTGTCTGTCGTCGTCTTCCAGGCCCGGCAGTTGCCGCACACACGGTCGACCGTGACTCTGCACAAAGAAGAGCTGCCGTAGCCGTTGGTGCCGCGCCAGTCCGAGGTCGTCAGCCCTCGGTCCGCGCCAGAGATGCGGGCCGAGACGGTAGAGCCATACTCCTTGGGGTTGGCGTACTTGTCAAACTTGCTACATTCCCGGAATCTCACAGTCAGTTCGACATTCATATGCTAAAGCTAGTTTGATGAGAGATGTGGTGTTCTTACGCCGTGCATGTGCAATCCTGGGCGGCGGGGCAGTTGCCGCGAGCGACGAGCTCGAGGTTCTCAGCGGCAGGCGCGCCGGGAGCGGCGTAGGCAGTGGAGAAGAGGGCGATAGCCACGGGGACGAGTGAGAACTTCATGTTGGTGAAAGAAGACTTTGAAAAGAGTGGATTGAGGTCAGAGATCTGAGCAAGTAATGAACGAGCGAATGAGTGACTGGCGTTGAAGGCTGAGAGGCTGTACCGACGTGTAATTCCACTTCGTCTTGAACATCCATCTATATAACGTCGGCAGGGCACTTCATGAACGAGAGTCATGGCAACGGCTCGGCATCAAACCACGAGCGTTTTCCCCGATACCATCTAGACAGATTGCGATGAGACGAACTAATTCGATAGAGTTCGGATCGAACCCGATGCTTTGGCGCACCTCGTCTCATGTTTGACCCAGTAATTCCCTATTGCAGAGCGCTGTGGCGAGAGAAAATCCGTGCTTTCCAGATGAGGCAGAGAAAAGGATAATTGATTATTTGTCCCAGACTACGGCACCGGCGGCCCCGGGGGGGCTCGCTGCTGAAGAATAAGATTAGGCTTAGGCGGTGCCTTAAATCACCGCCATTTCGTACTGCGAGTCAGGCTACTGGATCGGAATTGCGGGCGGTCGGTTCTGGCGATGCCGTTGGCGCGCGCAACGACCAGGTGACTCGTGAGAGATTGGGCTTTTGAGGAAAAGCGAAGTGCAATCTGATAACGCGAGTCGTTGCCAAGAAAGCAGTTTGTGAAGCGTTGGTAGTAAGCCTTGGCGCTTCGAGCTTTGAGATTGGAACAAGGGAGCCATGGTGTCACCGGTTGCACGCACCGATGGTATGTGAGAACTTTTCTCTGGATTCATGGACACCGGTTTGGTTCAATCTCCCGAACTATTGAGCCTAGAGTAGAAGAATGAAGCGCTGGATGTTCTATTGACTAGCAACTAAAAAGTACGCTCGCTATGCGCCGTTTGTGTTTAGTAATCCTGGCTCTCCTTCAATATCCCACCGCGGCGAAATAAAGTTCAAATTGAGAGGTCCTCTAGCACTTGAGGTCTCCATCGATGTTGCTCAAGCACGTGTCTGAGCCGAATAGTCAGTACTTGCTGTGATAATGGATGAATGTCCCATGAAGATCTTACCCAGGTTCAGAGACGAAGGTCTCTTCGTTCCGGTGGAATCAGTGCAGCGGCAGTTCAAGATCTGCTTCTTGTCGCCGCCAAGACCGCAGTCGCAGAACTTGAACGATGGGCTTTTGCAACATGTCAGTATAAAGATTTATTAACTTAAGGTATGGCTTACTTGGAAGGACGGCACTGCGAATAAATCACATTAGTTTGAATCCAACGATGTGGCGACTCAGAGCTTTGGCTTCTGGGTGTAAGACTCACGACAATCCTGCCTCCGACATTGGCCAGGCACTTGGTCATATCCAAATCGGTCGAGTAATTATCCTCCTGGTACTTATCCTGGCAGTAGGACTTGACGCTGGTAGAGAAGTAGGACGTGCCAGAGCATGTCGCCGAAAAGTCGCCAGCAGCAACTTGCAGGGCAGCCATGGCCAGAAGAGGAAGTGTAGCGAGCACGCGCATGGTGAAATGATTAATGAGTGATTAGTATTGAAAGAGTGGAAGAAGGGAATGGGCAAAAGAGTGTGAGTAGCAAAGCTGGCGATTTCAAATATGGACAAAGGAAGAGTTTCTGGGAATTGTGCTGTGTTTTATAGGTTTTGACTACAACAGCAAGCGCTTTCTATCATGTCTGGCCAAGCGGGATAACAGCACGGAGTAGTCCATGAGATAGTCGACTAAGTACGCCGAGTAGTTGCCAAGTCGTGACTACCTACCTACATGAAGCTTGATACATTAGAAGGAAACTCAAATTACTTGAGGCATACATGACTTTTACCGCCGCGGGATGCGTGGGATGCAGAAAAGGCGCCGATCAGGCGACTATTTCCCCCTTTGGAGGGCAGATTTCATTTCCCAATATTGTAGGGCGCGGCAGGATTAGAAATCATCTGTTTCTTGAGAATGTAGGTATCAATTATCTCTTAATTGCCGGAAACGCTGACCGACTAATCATGCCTTAACCTAAGAGCTCGTGCAGACCTTCCTCCTTCAGTGTCTCCCTCACTGCCTCTAGAACCTTGGTGTGTACTGATGGTGGTGCCGCGATGAAACCGTAGTTTGCCTTCATCTTTCGTCCGGCTACGAGATTTACCGGGTTGCCGTCGACGTCGGTGACCTTCCCGCCGACCTCCTCGAAAAGCAGCATGGCGCCCGCGTGGTCCCAGATCTTTGCGAGACGGTCCCGCCGCCTGTAGGCCCAGAACGTGCAATTTGCCTGACCAAGACCGAGGACCGTCCACCGCAAAACCCAGCCGAGCAGATCGTTGCCCGGATACGCTACACCAAGGCGTTCGGCAACTTTTTGGTGGATCCCCGGAGCCCCAGATTCGGAGCCCTCGATGCATGTCACTGACACCAGGGATTGCGTCTCCACGTCAGCGTGGCGGGGGATCTTTGTGGGCTCGAGGTCGATCGGGCCAGGAAGCGGCCGGATGAAGGTTCCGTGCCCTCGGACTGCGAACATGATGCTGCCGGTGCCGGTGGGGTCGATGGAGTCGTTGTTGATGGGCGCCTTCGCGTCGGCCGAGAGTAGCGGCAGACCGACAATGCCGACGCTCTGCTTCCCTTCTTCCATCAGGCAGACGTTGATGGCGTAGAGCTCACCCCGCACAAATGTCTTTGTTCCGTCGATGGGGTCAAACACCCAGAAGCGGCCAGTAGGTGAAGGGTCGCTAAGGCCGCACCAGTCAATCATGTCGCACATCTCCTCTGGTGACGTAGGCAGCTTGCATAATGAGTCGGCGGTCTTGTCGTTCTCGACCTGCTGCAGCAGCGCCCATACAGACTCGAGGAGTTTGGGGTTCTCGCGGAGGTCGGCGGCGGACTCCTCGCCCACAAACTTATCGTCGGGGAAGGCGGCGTGCAGTGTGCTCGTCAGTAGGGCCTGAATGGCGAAGTCGGCAACGGTAACTGGGCTGAGGTCCTCTTTTGTCACGACCCCCTTGTCATCTTTGACGAGAACACGGCGGCTAAGCTTGGCGCCGTGTTGAATGGCTGCAATGGCAGTTGCCAATTCTCGGGCATACGGTCCGTCCATTTCGGTTGCTGGGCGATGTCGTCTATCGGGGAGAACGGCGAAATGAGGTGGGTGGTGTTGAGAGTAGTGTCGACGATAGGTGGGGTGAACTTGACAGCGCTGATCAGTGGTCGTGTAGAGTGGATTCGGTGAGTACCAGTTGATGAGTCAGGCGATTGATGTGGATGCGATGTGAACGAAGATGCAGATGCAAATGCGGATGTTCACCTTATGCAGGCGTTCTGTTCGCAACCGGGCAGATGACTAGTGGTAGTGGTAAGCTGCAAATGCCGCCGCGTGAATGTGGTTGAATGCAGTTTCTAGAATGCCGCCGATGATGTCAGACCACAAGTTCAGGCAGGGTAGGTGGGCTTTTCCCAAGCGCCTTCCCGATGCAAATTTTGCCGGAAGAACTCCGGTGACGTGGGACCTGGAAGGAGTGGCCCCGGCATCGGCGTCGGCAGCCCCGGTTCGAAAAGCGGGTCCTTGTCCGCTATCAAGATCTTCGGATCCGATCTAAAATGGAGTAGCAACGACATTCAGTGTGAAAAGAGCTTACAAATGGGAAGTAGGGGGTATCACAAAGTCTTGGCTGCTGCTGAATATAAGGTATAAATTACAAAGTTGAAGAGCCACGCCCTGAGTTCATCCATTGGCCCCAAGTCTCATTTTGGCAGATCCCATGTGCAGGTTTGCATGATGTATTTCCCTGGTGGAGGTCTGGTGAGCAATTCCGCCATTAAAACCGCAGAGAGGCGAAATCAGGTACTTACTGTCTTTCCAGGTACGTTTCTTATGGAACAACACAGCTCGCAAATACCAAAGCCTGGTACACCACACGGCCGCCAGAGCATCTCGCATCGCACGGTCCAGGGAGACCAGAATGTTGAGACTATACATGCCGCTCTTGGACTCCTCAACTGCTAATCTTGTTCCATTACCGTCAAGCCAGTCGAAAACTTGGTTGTTGCGGCGAACGTCGAACAATAGCTCTCGCGCCTCGTAATACTCGGTCCTGTCACTCGCCTTCCGCCGGCCCACCAGCCAGGCCTTGCATTCGCTCTTGCCAATCTTCAAAAACTTGAGCCCGATGCTACCCAAGCCACTCCGAGATGTTGGTTTAATGAAGTATGGGAAGGTTTCCTGGAGAATGGCAGGCGGGCGCTCCAAATTGAAGATGTGCCTCGAGTTGGAGACAATTTCGGGCAGACGATTCGATTCATCAGACCTTTTCTTGATACTGTAGTCGATGCGGCTGAACTCCACTAGTCTATCGGTTTCTCGTAAGAAGTCTATCTGGTGGTTGATCTCGAAGATTCCCGGCGCATCCACATTCCGGGTGTTGGCGGAATGGACAAATCGGCCAGCTAGCCGGAGTGTGTCTGGCGGCAAATTCTCTGAGACTGTACCAGCATCCACCGAGTAGTCTGGCGGAAGATCGGGGTTGGTGTCGACTTGTGCCATCTCGTCTTTCAGTCTCTTCGCTAGATCTACAGCCAATGACGACTATTTGAGCTGGGTGAGCAACGGCTTCGAGAAACAGTTACGCAGATCAAATTATTGTAGGAGGAGTTGCGCCTTGGACACGGTACTGATTGAACGGATTGCAGTGAAATTGAAAGCCTGGCGGTTGAGCGTGGTGACATGTTTATGATGAATGAGGTCATGTGCAACATCAAATGAGCCGTGACAGGCCCAAACGGCAAGCGTCGCCCGAACATGCTCCCGCACGTGCGACAGACAGTTAATTGGCTCTTTTTTGTGTCGCTGCCTAAGTAAGCGGGCGATAAAGAAACATTGAAGCGCTACATCGCTCGGGAGTGCGGCAAATGTGATTGGGTTGTGTGCTCTGTCAGCAACTCGCCCGAACCTGAAAGTGCGGCATAATGTCGGAAATGCCTCAACGTCGTGGTCAGCTGCATCTAGTTTTGCCCGGTTTGTATGGTAAATCGTCGTAAAATGAATTTGTTATGCGGCTGGCCTCAAGATCAACTGCACCATACAACCAAGAACTTAAAATCATGCACGCAACATATAGAACGCACTTATTTTGCGCCATTTTCAACCGCTCCCAAGTTGCTCAAGGTCCAAGTGGTGATTGAATACCATCCTATCTTGTTCCACTCACCACCTTACCAACCCGCCTTCGCCTCGATCTAGTTCCGTGGCAAATTGTACTGCAAAGATTCAAGCTGCACTGAAATGAATCCGCGAGCAAGTTACGCATGTGTAGTCAACAATTGCATTGGTCGAAGATGAACCTTTTATCAAAGCGACGAAATGTGACGATGATCAGAAAGACAGCTCATATAACATTGCAACAGTCGCTCTCACGATAGGAAACAGCCGGCTACAGCTCCGGGGAACAGACATGTTTGTCTACTCCATCTTCAAGGCTACTTGCCGAAGCACACGTAGGTGCGAGTCTCAACGCTGTACCTGTTGTTTGCCTTGTACAGGTCCATGAGATGGAAATCCAGCCCCTAGCACGATAAAGGTTTCTTGACCATACTTCTCAGCCTCATGTACGGCGTGGGCGCCGTCAAAGATAAGGCTGAGTCTGTGCTATTGTGGGAAGGTTACAGCACAAAGCCCCTGCTTGCATACCCGTCCGTGCCGTTCCCATGAACTGGATAAGGTATTGGACTGGTGGCAGGCTCGAGGAGTAGCTTCGGGGACTGTTGCTGGTCCCGCATCTGTCAGATGCAAAGAAACGCAAGGGTAGTTGGTATCTGCGGCAACTGGGAAAGGAAGTCGCTGCCGTAGATCATACTCTGTCCGGATAGCGACGTTCAGCATATTGTTGCAGCTGCTATCTGCACCCTAGGCGTAGGCTCTCGTCCTTGTTTGACGTCTCTTCGGAGTATTTTGACTTGATCCAGCCTTGTGGTAAAGTTAACAGGCCGTTTGTGGTCCTTTGACCTGACCCGGAAGAGATAATTATAGATCTCAATCTCTTTTCTAGGGGGTAGTTGCAAATCGTCTATGGGTAGGTGGACGTGTAGACTGCAAACTCCTGAGGAGTGTAGCGAGCAAAGACAGCACCGTTTCACAACATCTACACGAAGCACTCGAGATTAGATCACTCCGACTGTCAAAGCTCACCGATCTGGCAGTCGCTGCTTGTCTATGGCGAATATTCTAGGGAAGGAACTCATCGAATTACTTCAAGATGCGGTTAGGCGAATTCGGGTGTAGATGGCAATCCATGCCCAGGTTTTGATTCATACAAACACGTGCATAGCCAGCCGCGACATCGGTTTGTTGTTGTCAAGGATAAGAAGCAGTTGCGACATTTAATTAAGGATTCGTTCTAGGGACAGGCTCACTGGTGCGACATGGATGATGGGTGAAGCGTAGGAATTAGCCCATTGGACACTGAGTGCAACAAACAAGAAAAAGTCAATCTTTTAATTAACCCGAGAGTTTCTCTCGCACAGTGCTCGCCATGGCGAATTCATCGCCTGATCTGAGGAGCTAGAGGCGAAAACTCTGCGAAACCTTGAATTCAGTCATAGCAGGACAATCCGACAGCCCAGGTTGGCATTAGATAATTGGGCAATGCATCAAAGTGTTCCGGCGCAATCGATGTCTGTAGCCGAAGCCAGCCGGCCCGCGGACTCCTCGCTACTGGGCAATTGCGACAAAATCGCTCCTTTGCGAATGAGTCGAGTCTCTTTACGGGAATAAGTCGTCTGACACCAAGGCAAGACACCACGCCTCATGCATGGATCTTTTCTTCGACGGGCCCGAGTCCGCGCACAATTATTCGTCGCCTGCAGCGCGTATCCTACGTCATCGAGCGAGAGAAAAGCCTTGCTGGCGGGTTCACAAAGCTGCAAAAGGACCAGTAACGCGCCAAGACACACAGAAACGGGTCAAGCGGCAGGCATTTGAGGAACGGCAAAGTGGATCCTTTTCGGTCCCGCAGAGGTGGGGCCGTACGGTATTGAGAGGGGTCCACTGCGATCCACTCTACGGTTCCGTTCCAATCAAGCCGTCGGTAGCCTCCACGCCGTAGGACTCGGCGTCCTGCGCGTCGTGCCATTCTCCACTCCTCCTCAAGGCAAGACGAGGCCTTGGCAAATGGGAGGCCGTCTCTCATAGTTCTTCACCCTTGCGCCCGCCGTCGTTTGGCTTGGGGGTGCCACGGTGCCTCGCGGCTTTACTTGGGTCTGCTCTCTCAGGATCCCTACAAAACTCAATGAGAGCGCCGAGAACGCACGCGCGCGCGCGCAGCACCACCTGCCCTATCCTATCCGCCAGACATTGCGGCTCAAACACCATAAGTCCTTATCAGCGCGCTTGATGATCGACCCCTTCGACGTCGACCCTGAAAGATGAGCTTCTTTCAACGACGGCTCATCAACAATTGCGAGTGACATGTGCTCTCTCTCTCACCGGGAACACACCGCTTCCGGTAGGCCCCTTGACGAAGAACCCCCCCTCCGCTAACTTGCCGCCCACCGACTCAGCCTGTGGGGTCGCCTCATTTCCCCCCGTTGGAAGAACGAAAAAAAAGTGTCCACATCCCTTGGTTGGGCATTGACTGGCGGCTGCATATAAAGTGGATAATGGTCGAGTCCTTTGAGACACGCTCGTTGGCTGGTTTTCTTAGCATTTGGCACCACCTTATTGTGCGAAACTGCGAAACTGCGACGGATAGTGATTGGCTGCTTTTTGCGCGTTTAGATGACATAAAGACAAATTTTCGTTATTTCTTTGCTCCCTCACTGGCTCAGATGAGCTGCGCGAAAAACTACTGCGACATGGTGTCACGGGATACTCCCAGGATTCATCCCCAGCCTCGCACCATTCTGCCTTGCTGCCTTGGTTTTGAGGGCAAGTTCTCCCTATCCTGTCATCCCACTGTTGACTGCGGCGAGTGGGATTGCAGGAGAAGGAGTCAGGCTTTCTTCCATTGTGTGTCACTGTCGGCATCTCACCGAGACACGAGAATAAAGGGAGATTGGCCACCTTACTGATAAACACGGCCCAGGCTCTCAGCAGCAGCGACAAGATGACCTTTGGATGAGTCTGTCTGATGCTCATTGGCTCCCTCCCGACAATCACGGTTCAGTGTCCGACACGCACCAAGTGGTCCCTCGCCAAACTTTCGCCCACCCACAAAGGCACGGACTGCTCCAGCTGGTTCCCATTCTTTTCCCCTCAGCAAGTGAATCCTTGTGGCCCTGTGGCCCCTTCAAACAGCGCTGACAAGTGAGATTGGGATGAGCGAACGAGCCGACGACTCTGAGAATCCTGGATGTATCCGTACTCCCTGCCTACTGTGTGTAGTGTGTACGTAGTAGGATAGTATGGGGGATACGTATCTGATAACCCCGCATAGAATTGCCTGAGATGGCAATGTGTCCCTGCAGATAAAGCTGGAGATTGCGCCTCCCCCATCCTCAATCCTGCGAGGCGAACGCTGTATTCCGATATCTCTGCCACTCTGATATCGATAAGCCGCAACTAGGGTGGTAGTTATACGTCTTAGTCAAGGCAAACTGATTACAGTCCCAGGCAACATATCGATATGGAAGACGGCGACACGGCGACAATTCCCATGTTGGCACGGCCAAACACTCCGTAGCCGAACCCATAATCCGTAGCCCCAAAGCCAAGCCAAGCCTCCCCCGTCCAATGGACAGATGCATTCAGAAGCGGACGCTAAGACAAGGAATGACGACATTGCGGAAATATTCTGCCTTAGCACCAGCGCCGCGCCAAAGGATTGGGATGGGGTCGACACAAAATCCATGGATGGCATGGGCATGGGGCGCAAACACAACAACGCCTGCGTACGAGATCAGGGACGAACCCAGTCAAACTCCACACAGACTTGCAACGTTCCTGGCCCTCTGTATGGATACTTTCCCTTCATTGTCCCTGGATTTTCTGATGCAATCTACCTACAGGCTACGCCGAGAGCCCGCGGGCCGGGTTGGTTCAGAGTTCGTACCAGTCTGTGTCTGTGGGTTGTTCAGCTGCAGAATGCAGAAAAGCTTTTGCATTTGGATGTATCTATGTACATGCCTGGTAGCCCGGCGCGGCGCATTCTTCTTCTCACTCTCTTCGGTACACTGTGTGGCATGTGGCACGTTGCCTTGGGAAAAGAGAAGAAGTTCGCCCAGGTCGCAAAAGTTTTTCCCCGGTCGATTGACCAGACGAGACGCTGATCGATCTGCCTGTCTGCCTGCTGCCACCCTTAAAACTAAACTCTCCCCCTTCGAGATTCTCCTCGCGTGCCTCCGTTCGAAACGTTTCGTTGCTCTCTCTCTCTTCCTCCCTTCTCTCCTCTGTCCGCACGCCCTCCTCTTTGTGCTCACGGTTTCCCACTCGGCTTGAACCGTTTCTTCGTTCCTCCACATGCACTCAGTGGTCTCCTCCCTCCGTCTCTCGTCAACACACCTCCACGGGGAAAGGGTCTAGATAGTAAAGCCGTTGCGCTTGAACTAGCTCACTCTTTTCACCATGTCGGGTTCCGAGCAACTCAAGGGCCCGGTTGAGTCTGTCCCCAACGACAGGGTCTCTCTCGACAGCTATGGCTCTTCCGTGCGACACAACTCCGATGGCCTCCAGCGCCGCCTGAACAACCGTCAGATTCAACTGATTGCCATCGGAGGCACAATTGGTACCGGCCTGTTCGTCACCATCGGCGGCGGCCTCGCCAAGGGCGGCCCCGGAAGTCTGCTCATCGCCTACACCCTCTACGCCTGCGTCGTTGCCCTCGTTAACAACTCCATCGCCGAGATGAGCACCTACATGCCCGTGTCTGGTGGCTTCATTCGTCTGGCTGGTGTCTGGGTTGACGATGCTCTCGGCTTCATGGTTGGCTGGAACTACTTCATCTACGAGGCATTGCTTATCCCGTTCGAAATTACCGCGCTTAATCTCGTGTGCTCTTTCTGGAATGAAAAGATCACGGAGCCGGGTCCGACGGCGGGTTTCTGCATCGCTATCATCATCGCGTATGGGTAAGTCACAAACCAATTCGTGGGAACGATTGACTTTTTTTCTCCTTTCATTTCAGGGACAAGCGACTAGACCGACCGGACATTCTAGAGCTCGTCGTGTGCCCGCCCGTGACCCTTTTCGTCCTCCTTTTCTCTCTCTCCTCTCGCCTCGGTGGTGCTTGTTGTGTATGCATGCTAAACGTCAATGTGTGATTCTAGTCTACTGAATGTTGTTGCCGTCGGCATCTTTGGTGAAGCTGAATTCTGGCTCTCAGGCGGCAAGGTCCTGCTCATCTTCATCCTCTTCCTCTTCACCTTCATCACGATGGTCGGAGGAAACCCCGCCCATGATGCCTACGGATTCCGATACTGGAAGGAGCCCGGCGCATTCGCGGAATACATGACGCAGGGTAATACTGGTCGCATGGAAGGCTTCATGGGTGCTCTGGCCACTGCCACGTTCACCATTGTCGGCCCGGAATACATCTCCATGATCGCCGCCGAGGCGAAGCACCCGAGCCTGTACATCAAGGGCGCCTTCAAGACCGTCTACCTGCGTTTCGGCCTCTTCTTCGTCGGTGCCGCCCTGACCTGCGGCATCGTGCTCCCCTACAACAACCAGACCCTCATCGACATCTATATCACCGGAACCGGCAGCGGTGGCACCGCCGCTGCCTCCCCGTGGGTCATGGCCATGGAGAATCTCAAGATCCAGGGTCTCCCCCACTTGGTCAATGCTCTGCTCTTCACCACCATCTTCTCCGCCGGTAACACCTACGTCTACTGCGCAACCCGATCCCTGTACAGCTTGGCGCTCGACGGTCGCGCCCCGGCTCTGCTCCGCAAGACCACCAAGAACGGTGTGCCCGTCTACTGCTTCGCCGTCACCATGATCTTCCCCTTGCTCTCCTTCCTGCAGTGCGGCAGCGGCTCCGCAAAGGTGCTCAACTGGCTCCTGGCCCTCATCACGGGCGGCGGTGTCATCAACTACCTCGTCATGTCCATCACGTACATCAACTTTTACCACGCGTGCAAGGCCCAGGGTCTCGACCGCAAGACGCTGCCCTACTGCGGATACCTCCAGCCCTACGGCGCCTACGTTGCCCTCTTCTTGCAGACCATTGTCATCCTCGTCTACGGATGGTCCGCCTTCCGCCCCAAGTTTGATGTCGGAGGCTTCTTCTCCAACTACACGATGCAGCTTGTCGCGCCTCTCCTGTTCATCTTCTGGAAGGTCCTCAAGCGCACTCACTGGCTCAAGCCCCATGAGGTGGACTTGACGTGGGACCGCCCCATTATCGAGGCCTATGAGCAGCACGCTTTAGTGCACGAGCCCCCTACCACCTTCTGGAGGGAGATGCTCCAGATGGTTGGAATTGGTCGCAACAAGGTGATCAAGGGCGAGAAGGCTTGAACGAGTAATTCTAATGATGATGGTGGATGGCGCGTGATACCCCAGTGTGCTAAAATATACGGTCGGCTACATGTATGCAGCGTAATATAAAAGTTACCATCAATTCTTGTCCATGTTGTGAAGGTTTCCGTTACCACCCAATCGTTCCGACCACAGGCGCTCTCTCGAGATTGCTCAGGGCTATCGAAGCAGTCTCAAGTCCCATTCACGTCCCGCAACTTCTGCTCATTGCACGGATGGTTACTACGGGGTGACAGAATGGATATTGCATTGATGCCTACGCGTAAGCACGCGCATGGCCTTGTACCTCACTGCCTTGCAGCAAGTGATCGACGCGGTGGATATCCTAAGTAAGTGAGACCGTCAGCGCTAGCACTGGGCAGGACGAATGAGACACGGCTCATTTTTCTAGGTACTTGAACACTGCCTCAGCTGCTGCGCTCATCTGAAGAGAAATGCCTTCACACAATGATTCAAAGGTAGGAAGGGTAAGCATAGTTGAAATTGGGATGGGAAGGCTAACTCACACGTTTGTTCCAGTTTGCAGCAACTCTGCTTATTTACAAACCTGATTACCACGTAACGATTTCATGCATTTTCAAGCGCAATGAGCGACAAGGCCTTCATGGCATCCTTAGAAGGGGGTGTGGGGCTTCCCGTCCCATCATCGCATATTGCTGCTTTTCAACTCCCATCTCATTCTTGCGTTCGATCTATCAGCTCAACACAGAGCCACGGACGGTCTGACTGAGCCGGTGTCAGCGATCAGAGAGGTCCTCACTTTGGATGAAGATGCCACGATTCATGCTCCACTCTCAGGTGGAATCAGTGTGGCTTTGAGTGAGCTGGAACGTCCTTACATATCCCGGTGTTTGAGCGATTGCACTCCTTATGTTCTAGAATTCAACTGTTCTCAAAAGTCTTCATTCAGGCCAAAAGGATTCAAAATAGATTCTCACACGCTTAGAGCACGCATTTTTCCGCACTTTGGAGGTGCCTTCTGTTCTTATTCATCATGATAATTGCCATTTGGATAGTTGAGAGCCTTTGTAATGATATCTGATAATGGTCCCCGGTTTGTCTATTTTCAATCTAGGCTGCCTGCACCTTTGCATGATTCGCGGGTTATCATGTGCTGCCACAACTGTGGTTGCACTGTGGCTTGCAGGAGCTGAACTATCTATGCAGCCACCCCAGAAGTCGCTGACCAGTTGGAATTGGGCTGTTTCCCAAAAGGCAATATGCCAGGCAGAGACTTTGGCGGGCCGGTAGGCTACAGCAGGCAATGGCGAACCATTTGATTAATATTGCGATTGTGTATTAAGAAGGAGAAGTTTTGCTCATTATCTTCAGACTGCAGTCGTTTTCAATTATTCCTCGAACTTTGATGATTGAAAATCGCCAGATGATGACATTTCCGCTTCCGCAAGCCTAATCATATGGCTGAGCTAAGTTTATCACCCATGGCTGGAGCGAAGGAAGATTCTCATAAGGGATCATGCACTGAATGCTTGAAACTACCGAGAAAGTTGTTCGAACCAGGCTCGACAATCTCACATTCATTCTACAGCGGTGACGGGGCCATTGCTAGACTCCAGCTTTCAGCTCATCAAGGATGCCATTTCTGTACCTTGATATTCGATGCCCTTGAAGCAGGGCAGAAAGGCGACTCTGAAGTTACAATTGACAAGAACGGAATTGCACTGAATACCCTATGGACTACCTCAGGGCCCGGGTATTGGCAACCAAAGGTAGCGGATTACTCAGTGCTCAGACCTAACGAGGAGCACATTACTACTCCCGCCCGTAACAGTTCTCCGGATAAAAGGCCTGGTCCTCTTTTGAAGCTATCCTGGGGCAATTGCGTCGCTCATCTTCGCTTCAACGTCCACTCTGATGCTATTTCCAAGAAACCGGGGAAGCACGTGACGAATTGGGACTTATATAGCCAAACGAAGAACTTTGAGCCAGCCAAGAAGCACTTTTCCCCTTTGGCGGCACAGACGGACTCCCCTAAGGTGTTTCAGCTTCTGAACTTCTGGCTGGATGAATGCCAGAAAAGGCACCGAGATAAATGCGCATACGTGGGAGAGCTTGTTTTGGAGCACGAATTTTCTTCGCCTACAAGACTACTGCGCGTCGGCGAGGAAGGCGAGAACATTGTCCTGGTGCTCTCGGCCGGTCTGAAGCGAGACGAAGGCGGCTTCGGGCCCTCTTACACCGCGTTGAGCCACTGCTGGGGAGACCCCAAAAGTGTGCCACAAACGACAAAGACGAATCTGGTGCATATGATGAGTGTTGGTCTTCATCATGACGAGCTATCTCCAACATTCCAGCATGCTGTTAAGATTGCGAGAGAGCTCAATATCGGGTGGCTCTGGATCGATTCTTTGTGCATTGTTCAAGACGACAAGGCCGACAAGGACCGCGAGCTGCCATTGATGGAAACTATCTACTCCATGGCCATCTGCACTCTCGTCGCATCAGACTCCAAAGGTGGGAGTGGCGGTTGCTTCCTCCCTCGAGGGCCAAACCCAGATATGCACGTACGGCCTTACACAAAGACTTTTGACGACGTCAAGACCAAGACCTCAGTCACCTTCCAACCCTACCTGGCAGACTGGGCCCAGTCGGTGACCAATGGCCCCTTGTTTGCCCGTGGCTGGTGCTTCCAGGAGAGGCAGCTGTCGAAAAGAATCATCTACTTCACCAAGAGTCAGGTACTCTGGGAATGCCGAGCGTCCATCGCATCCGAAGCATACCCTGAGATCAGCAGCTGGTTTACTCGATCAGAACCCCCCTTTATGGCTCCGCCTTTCCGCGTCACTTGGGCTAGAATAACCGATAGATCAATGCTATACAATAGCCTCGAGAGGGTCCAGCCGTGGTTAGATGACTGGCTGCGCGTCGTCGAAGCTTATTCTGGCAAATCTCTCAGCAAACCGGAAGATCGACTTCCCGCGATTGCCGGTGTAGCGGCGCACTTCCAGCAAAACATACGCCGGCCCGACCAATTTCTCAGTAGCTATGTAGCTGGAATGTGGTTTTGTGATCTTGAGAGAGGGCTTTCATGGAAGCCGTCCTTCGACCCTGGTAAACATAGACTAGCGAAAGACAAAGGCTGGCCCCCGCCCCTCAGGAATTCTGCGACATTCAATGCTATTCCGGAAAGACAATCTGAGCCCCTATCCGTGTGGCTTCCGTCCTGGTCATGGATATCAGTTGATGGTCGTGTGCGGTACCCTTACGCCAGAAATTCCTCCCCAAAGCCGACTGGGATCGGAATGGGCGGTATGGAATATTTCAATCCGAAATCTAAAAATTTCGACGATGTATCGGTTCCTGACACACCTCTCGAACCATTCTTCGGCCGCACCTCGCTCAAGACTGACTTCGAGTTTGGGGAACTCGAATGGGGGGTTATTGGCCTCACGAACTACGCTGTTGAGACTGTGATATCCGAAAAACATCTCATCAAAGCTTCGATTATTGTGACTGGAATTCCCAAGTGCTATTCAATGTTCAAGCAAAGCACCAATCCGTTTAAAATCGTCAGGCGGACGGAGCCATCGGCCGGCGGTGTCATCATTATGGATTCGATCCCAGCTCAGCTTCCCAAGACAAAATTGTATTGTTTGAGACTCGGTAACTCTAAGAGCCTGTTCAACAACGAAAACTTGGTTGAGATTGGTCTAGTTTTATTGGAGACGCCTTACAAGTCCATGGCTGGGCTTAGCTCACAATGGAATTCGAGGCCTGGTCCGGTGGTACAAAGAGTTGGCTTTTTCGAGATTGGCATGTGGGACAAGCAATGGGTCACAAACGCTCGACGAAGAACCTTCTATATCATATAGGTTCAATGTGCTGTTTCTTGTGTCGTCGGTGGCGGTGATGTATGATATTTCTTGCTATCAGAAGGTCACATGCTCGGTGAAAATCTCGAAAGCACTTTCAGTCATGAACGAATTTTCATAGCTTCGTATACCGCACATCTAGCTTAGTGTCCAACCATAGCCTGCTGGGTTGGGTTGTATCTGTTTCCGTGGGGCTTGGCCGCATCGATAATCTTCCGCATCTCCACCCTCTCCTCGTCGGAGAAAATAACGTCTCTTGATACCCAGTTCTCTTCTAATCTCTTGGCCTTTGTTGTGCCAGGGATAGGAATCATTCCCTGAGCGGCAACCCAGGCAAGGGCAATCTGAGGTAGCGTGACTCCCTTGCGCACAGCAAGCTTCTTGATCTCATCAACAATAGCCTTGTTCTTGTAGAAGTTCTCGCCCTGGAACTTGGGACCTTTACATCGAGTTGTCAGCGTTTGTTAGACAGAATTTCTGGTTTCCAGTTGTGACTCACTTCCACGACGGAAATCGTTGGGTGCAAAGTCGTCTGGGCTCTTGTACTGGAAGTCATCAACGAGCCATCCGTGACCCAGGGGGCTGTAAGCCACGTAGGCAACTCCGAGTTCCTTTGCAGCTTCAATCAAACCGTCAGTCTCGTGGATGGTCTCGAAAGCTGAGTACTCGGCTTGAAGAGCATCGATCTTGGCAACTACGGATTATTAGTGGGGGGTTCTGAAAACTTCTAAAAGTGGGAGTTACTTGAGTTGGCCTTGCGAAGAGTGGCAGCTGAGCACTCAGAAAGACCGATGTACTTCGTCTTGCCGGCCTTGCGGATCTCATCGAGCGCTGTGATTGACTCCTCGAGGGGCGTGTCTGAGTACCTGTCAGTGAGAGTTTCCTCTCATCTTCCTCCGTGGCTTGAAAGCTTACTGGGATCAATGCGATGAAGGTAATAGAGGTCAGGAGTGAAACCAAGTCTCTCAATAGTGCCCTCGATGTACTCCTTGATGTGAGAAGCAGAGTTGGTGATACCGCCGGAGCCAAAAACGTCAAATCCACACTTGGAAGCGACTGGAAGAGAAAGTCAGTTATAGTCAATGAAGTGAGGATACTTCAAAAGCACTGACTGAACACCTTGTCCCGCACGTTGTGCTTTCTGATGAAGTCGCCGAGAAGCTTCTCGTTAACACCAGCCTGGTAAACGACCTAGTCAAACTTTTGTTAGTGCCTCGTGGAAAGCATGTATGTATATAGAGATCATGCGCAATGGTGTTGAGGGGCTTGCTTGAGAGCCATTGACTTACTGCTGTATCCCAGAATGTGCATCCGAGCTCAATTGCCTTAAGAAGAACGGGTTCAGCTTCTTCCAAGCTCAAATTGCTTCCCAGGCCGAAACTCAGGCCCATGGCGCCGAAGCCTGGCGAGTTGACTTGAATGTCCTGGAATTGGAAAGTCTTGGCCATTTTGATCGATTTTGGTTGCGGTCGTATTAGTAGCGTTACTTTGGACGTGAATTCGTAAAGTTGATGATCTGCTACTTCAATAACAGAACAGGGTCTTGACTTCGAGGTCATTTAAGATGTGTTGGTGAGTCCATTCCCAGTGACGTAACTGCAGCGAAAACGACATGGCGACGGAGTTACGGCGATAACATGCGACTGGCTGACAACTAGAACGTGGATCCAATGATCTTCGTCCCACAATATGGCGCCACGAAACTTTGCCAAACACTTCAAAACTGTGCTTGAGCCAATGAACAACTTTTACCTACACGGAAATAATTTATTTTTCTCCGAGGTCCTGGATTTAAGGATGGTAGGTAAGCCGATGTAAACTCTCCAAAGTCTTTGTATAAGTCGCATTTGGTCTGGAAGCTTGGTCAGTGCATGAGTCGCATAACAATACTGCTGACATCCCGTCGCTCTTATGACGCTAAGTCAGAGAAGACCACTTTCGCCGGAATATTACCTGCTGAAGCATCGGCAAAGCGGCACCCTAGCAACAGGGCAAATCCTTTTCCTCAAGAACAGCCTGGACTGCCCCATGGTCTGATGAATGTTATTCAGTAGTCCGGCAGTCTCGAGGTTCAAACGCAGTTGGCCCTCAGCTTCATACTAATCTGGAGAGCGAGTATATATACCATCTGCTTTGCTGAAAACCGGATTCCAGATATATCCGTACAATGTCATTGCCGAACCCACTCGGCCGAATCCTGCCTGCAAGGGGTAGAAGCTTGTATTCACGGTTTGACGTGATCGATGAACAAGCAGCTAACTGATGTCGCTATTCCGCAGTGGGCCTTGGCCATCCACTTTACAAATTAACTGCCTCCTTTTCGCGCTGACAGCTTCGGTATTAGTAATACTATCTCCAACTTCATGAAGCTCAGGAATCTTTGAAATATGGTACCTCTGCCAGACTGGACATTCCAATCTTTCTTCTACTAATCTCACTCGTTTCGCTATCCTACTCTCGCCCTATCCTTAATCGACCAACAGAATGACATTGCGATTGGTCGGTTTCCAGTTGTTGGGACTGGCAGCTCTCCTGCTCTCACCAGCCTCATCGGCCCCTACTAACGGTTGCGATTGGCGGAACGCAAGTGAGGTCACGTCATTGCAGTCCGTCCCCGGAGCACGATCACTCGAGAACATTGCAGTTCGGGAGAATGGAAACCTCTTAGTCACCTCCACGGCCTCTCCGACCCTTTTCGATCTGTCGCCGGAAGCCAGACATGCGCCGGTTCCTGTTGTCACCATCAACGGCGTTAACAGTCTCCTCGGAATCACCGAACTTGGTGAAAAGGATGTTTTCTACGTCCTCGGTTCAAATCTGACCTCAACCGAAAACTCGAACGGCTTGTGGAAAGTCGACCTCCGTAAATTCCGCACCTCGCACAACGGGACTGTGCTCCAGTCAGCTGTGCTTTCTCTCGTCACGCTTGTCCCATCCGCTCTTCAGGTCAACGGCATGGCACGTTTGGCCAAGAACGATACTCAGAACCTGCTCATATCCGACTCTGGCCGTGGAACCGTCCTTCGCCTCAACGTGAACACCAAAGTCGTTGAGACTGTCCTTGCTGAGCCTGAGATGGCTCCGGTATCCTCGAGTTCGAGCATCGGCGTCGCCGTCAACGGGATCCGCCTCCGGGATAACAAACTTTATTTCGTGAGCTTGGACCAAGGCCTATTCGGCAGAGTCCCCATCTCTCTCACAACCGGAACAGCCACTGGCCCCGTGGAGACTTTGGCTACCAACATCACCTTTGGTGACGACTTCGCCTTGTCGAAAGACGGCAAGACTGCCTATGTTGCCACCAACGGTCCTCTGGAGGTTCTCGGAATCGATTTGGTACACGGAGGAAAGACTGTCGTTGCATCCTCGCCCCTTCTTGGAGCTGCATCTTCGGTAGCTCTGGACTTGCACCACCCTCGCAAGGTTTTGTACGTGACGGGCGCTGTGTCATCTGGCAATAGCACCGTTGGGCATGTGTCTCGCGTTACTTTGAGGTGCTAGACCGAGGAATGAGTGGAACCACAGAGCAATTCCCTCTCGTCTCGTATAGCGGGCGCGATGCTATCGTGAATAGTTTATATGCTGGGAGGTCTCTCTAATAGAATCATAGGTTCATGGCACAACCTAATGAAGATGGAATTGAAATAACAAAACAAATGGGGTATTATTGATCAAAAAACGCTATCTAAATGCTTTTCTTCCGCTCTTCCCACCAACTATGCAACGGTGGAGCTCCCGAGCATATGATGTTTATCGGCGTCTCCAACAGAAACCGATCGATGGCTTCCGGTGGACCAACGTCGAGATCGTCGAGTCGAAAGAGAGTCTGACCGTTTTCGCGTAGCATGGAGGAAAAGTTTGGTACTATTTCTGGGACTGCCAACAACTTGTAGCCCCTCTCTAGGAGGCCAGTTCCTGTCATGGCGTCGATCACGGCTTTTGCTGGTTCAACTTTTGCAACGATCAGTCCTCAGTCATAGACGGTAGCTGGCTGGAGTATGGTTGGAATACACGACTTACCCATGCCGTACTTCTGCATCTCTCGTTCAGTCTCGATGATCCGGTATTTGGTGAATAGGGGGTCCGTCGTCTCCAGCTTTCGTGCTTGGATATGCATGTTGAGAAGGTTCACCTCGAACGGTCCACCATGTGTCACCCACGCAGTCCAAAAGTCTTGCTTTTGAACCTTTTCCACATACTGAACCAGGTCCTTGATCATGTTCTTCTCGAATATCCATTCCACACTCTCCAGATTCCAAAAGGCGGGTCCAAATGAGTCCATCGATCGATCTAGAACGTTTGCTGCGGCGCCTATGAGTCTCCGCATGAAATCGTCATTGGTCATTCTCGACCTCCAAATCGTAGGGTCCTTGACGTAAGCATCAAAGGTTTGGCGCATGCTGAACGGCTGCACGGCGATAGCCTCAGAGTCCAGCCAGAGCGCGTAGTCGTACTCGAGCTCCAGTGCTGCTGACATCTTCTTGATTGTCTGGTATTGGTATTTTCCACGTTCTTTTAGAAGTGCCGACGTATCATCGCCCGTGATTTTCCCGGCCGTCATGGAGTGAAAGACCGGAGGTAGGATGTCGAACATGTTGACAATGTTGATTTTCGGCTTCGGCCCGTTGATGTTCATCGCTGGCGTCGGGAAAATGCTGTAGGTTGGCCCACAGGGCTTCAACTTTTTCATCGCGTCTTGGAACATTACGACCTCATTTGAATCTGACACGATGACGTGGAAATCGATTTTTGACTGATCTGTACAAAGGCACATATAAGACTGCAGGAACTCTATCGCAAGAGGCATGTGTCCACTCTACGCTCGATTAGCAATTATTATCTATTCACCCCCAATGACCGGAACTTACAAATGTTGGGAGAATAACGGCGTACTTCATCTCCTGTAGCCTCTGTGATTCTGATGTTTCGTTCTTTTTCGATCCAAGATTGTACATCTCATCCTCTTCGTTAATTGCGCCATGTTGGTCATACGGATTAGCATGACTTGTTTGCGTTCCAGTCCTTTCTCCAGATAAGTCAAAAGAGTGAATATCGAAATGTGGCCATAGAGTATGGCTGAAGAACACCACCAACACCACAATACCACTCAGACAGCTCAAGTACAACCACCGAGCCTCTCTGGCCGACGTAGAAAATGGCTTCGTCAATATCATGGTGTGCCGTCGTCCATTATCCTCCCACAAAAGGTTGCATCCCAAGGAAGTTATTCAACCAAACTTAACTGCCCGCCGGTGGTTGGGATGGCGCTCACTTCCACTTTATACCATAGCCACCAAAATGTCTGTTCTACGCCCACCGGGCCTGTAGGTTTTCTGTGGCGTGGTCCGCCTATCAACTTACAAATACTTGCCCGATTTCTAGTTCAGCATAGATAGACTATGTCGGAGGGGCTATGCCTTATCGTCAGTCCATCAGAGATGCCGATAGACATTGACTGTTTCGAAAATGTGAGTTGCTGGGGTTCAACTCATGATATTAACTTTGCCGCTGAAACGCTCGCATTCCGTAGAAGCCGTTTGGACGGGTTTCTGTTAGCCGTGATTGCGTCTCCCCCACACGCGAAATATCCTTCATTATTGCCACTTGTCATGAGCTGGACCATCGGAACTATGTACAACTGCAATTGACAGTCCGTGGTTGTGGAACTCAGGGTCCCCCCATGTTGTGTCGCATCCCTTTGCCTTACCGGGTTGCTTTTAGTCGATTGTTGCGGAGCTGCTAAGCTTCAGAACGCCCCATCCGCGCGGCTACCCCGTCGCTCAAGCGTCCACTTGCCCTCCCGCCGGAAAGCTTGTCTGATACTTGGTCCCCGCAAACAAGCAGAGCCATGCTAGTGACGCTCGGTTTCCCAGACCGGCGGCCTGGTGTGGATGGAACGGAGGATTGATGAAACCCATCATCGGTGAGGTGTCTACTATCATCTTGTAAGTCATCTGAACAGTTCCATGTTGGCAGCGAGATCACTACGACGCAGCGTTGGTTGTGTGGTCGTATCAGTGAAGTCGAGAATTGTTTGATGACATGATGCAGAAAGGTTTACGCGGAAATTTTGATGACGTGAGAAACGAGAGCGAAGGTTTGCTCATCTTCAGTCTGTCACTTATGAAATGCCGACAGCGGCCATTCAATTTCCCTGGGTTTGAGTTTCTGCTCGCCCTTCGGTTTGCGCCGATAACCCTTGACGCCCTGTACCTAGTGGTCCACTCACATTTGACTGACAAGTGGGCATAACAAAGTCTGAAGAAATTAACTCCAGAGTTTGTGTGACACTAAGAATAATGCAGCAACTGGAAGAGAGCAGCGTCGTAATCCACTCTTAACTGCCTACAGCTCGTATCGTCAATTGGAGACAGCACACTTAAATACATGATCCGATATGATTTCATAACTCTCCCCCACCTCCGTCATCGACTCGCTCGGAGTTTTCCTTTACTTGAAGATAGCGCTCCTTTACTGACACGCTCTCGTACGCATCATGGCCCCCAGCCTTCTGATACCAGTAAGCAACCACGGCGTATAGACATTTATTGCCTGAGCCCCAGTCATTGGGCTTATATTTCTCAATGTAGGCCTCGAAGCTTTTGTGAAAAGGCACGTCATCGCACACGTGGAAGCGACAGACTGAAGTGTGCCCGTTGGCATCCAGCTCAATGTAAGGTTGGCAGGCATAAGCGCTGTCAAAGGTCGGAAATGGCGGTTCGGCCGCCCACGCGTAGCCCACATAATCTTCAGAACCGGTGCCAAAGGTTGACGGGAACTTTTCGCCGTCGACGAAGAACTTCTCGTCTCCCTCGCCCCACCACCAGTCGATCGACTTGTCGCCGCCAACGCCGTACCACCAGTCCTTTGATGGGACCTTGGGATCTTTCCAGCGGTTCCACACGTGCATCTGCACGCCGCAGAATCTTCCAGGGCCGTTATCTAACATTAATAAAGGCCAGTCGATCTCGCGGCCCTCTTTCTTCGGCTTCTCGAGAAAGGCATCTCGGTGCCACTTGGCGTGGAACCGAAGCATGTACTTCGCAGACTTTTCCAGTGGGCGGTGGCAGATGGTGAAGAATAGCTTCTGCTCCTTCTTGCCATCATTGACCAGCTTGATCTCAGCGCGATCGGAGAATGGCATGAACCAGTGACTGTAGAAACCACCCCCGTCTGTTGAGCCCTGGGGCAAGGAGCGGTAGGTCTGGATGCCCGGAACGCTACCAAAGAAGTCACCCAGTGGTGCCCAGACACTTGGAGACTTGTCATGATCCCAAGTGATCTGGATAGCGAGCTCCCGGAGAATTTGAGCGACATGATGAGAATCCTGGACCAGGTCCAACGGCACCACACGCATGCCAGTGATTGCTCGGTTGCCCGTCAACTCGCGAACAGTATGGCTCTTGCCCGGTTTGATGGTGAGAGTCAATGTTTCCATCGTGTCGCCCTTTGACCGAGGTAGTGCGGACCAACCACGTTGACTCAGTTCTCGGTCAGCTGCGGCCAGTGCCAGACAAGCCTCCCGATCGAAGTCGCCATCAAAGTGCGGAAGCGTAGTGTGTTTGGGAAATGAGGTGTAAGTGAAGTGATAATACGCTCCCCAGCCCGGTCCAAGGCGGATCTTGGCATACTTGTTGTACGGAATGGGAATGAAGCAGTTACGCCCTCTTGACAGAGTGGGCGTTATCGAGGGAAAATTATGTGGCATCCCTTGAAACCGATCGAAAAGATCCCGGAAGGGCATGTCCACAACAGGCTTGTCATCGTGCTCGTCGTCAATGAAGATCTGGATACGGCCGACATCCGGCATCGCGGACCAGGTCCGCCAGATGACTCCTGGACCCCGCTGCTCAAAGGCGACTACCCACTCGCCTTCTTCGCGAATGATGCCTCTCCCATCGTCGTTGGCGTCCCAGTCAATGTACTTGTCTTCCTTCGGGTCATAGCGTGAGGCCCGGTCATAGCTCGACATACACCCGCCGCGCTCTCCGGGCAACGGGGATTCGGCAAGACGTTCAAGATCGTAGAGCCGTCGCACTAGGTCGGGATATGTCAAATGCATTGCTGGAAGCGAAGGTCTTTTTTTTTTGTTGGACACGATCAAGTCCTGGTATGCGGGGATTTGAGAGTTCGTTTCCCCGGTTCGAGACGCCGCTGCGATTCCTCGACGTCTTATAAATATTGGGGTAAAACTGCAAGGCCAGCTCTGCATGACTAGCTTAGAGTTTGTTGCAGGTCAGGATTGGCCCCTTGATTCTGATTAGGCTCGTTCTTTGGTGTTTGTCATGAAACATGTCGGTGTCTTCCAGCGGCCTCGCCTCTCGTTTCCACGCGTCGTTCGATAGTCTACCACATGTAGTAATCGGCAAGGCAGGTCCTCAAGTGCCTCTTGCATTTTACGTCCGATGTCTGACGAAGAAGTTCAGCCTGGTTGTTCTCAAGCATTCGCGTGGAAGCATTGCTTCCATTAGACCTTCGAATTCGAGGTTGGCAGCTTTCTTAATAGGGAGGGAAATCGCGGCACTTGTTGCGTCATTGCTTCTGAATTAACGCAATGATTGTGAATTTCTCTATCACCGTTTCTAAGTCTTAAGCCTTATTTTCTTGTGTTGCCTAATTTCTGAGCTGACGTTTTATTCGAAAGTCCCCTCCTTCCACTACAACGTTGCCCGTCCATGGTGTGCACGAGACATCGTTCGTCCAGGCCTTCTGATCGATAACATCGCAGTCGAGAGCCCTTTAGCCTTACGAAATCAACAACTCAATACCAAGCTCCTGCTGAAAGCGCCTTTTGGCACGTACGAGAAACTTGAGACCCTCATACCCTGAACGCTCGCGACGGTAGGAAAGAGCGAGCATGCTAATGTCAATAAGCCGAACCTTCCGCCATTCTTTCCGACAACACTCCTCCATCATATCTATGGTGTACCGAAGCTCTTCCAAACTCTTCTGCCAATACCTGTAATACCGGGCATGTGCATTCGGGTCTCCACCTGTTACACGCGAGGTTATTCGCGAAGCGAACTCAATGGTCTCGACAGTCGCCGCAAGATTCGGAAAACCGTCGTACCTCGGAAGTTCGTTGTACTCGAGTGCACCTCCGAAAATCTCATGAATCAAATTCACCTTGAGATGCTTCACCCGACGAAACTGGCGTAGAGGATAATAATAACAATGTGCAGGCCGTTCGACGAGCCAGCCACATGTCTCGACGGTATCGGCGAGAGGGTTTACATCGCAGACTTCTGTATCCTCATCCTCAAGGCAGTAGTCATTGTCGATGACGAGCACCTTGAGCGAAGGCATACGTTCGAAAACTTCGTTTTCGGGTAACTCGCAATGGTAAAAGTGTGCCTCGACAAGTGAGGGGAGATGAGGAAAATTGTCTCCCTCGAGTTGGTAACAATCTCTCAATGCCAAGTGCTTCAATGAAGGTAGAGACGACAGCATTGGGATCCAAACCGGTATGATGTATGATGAATTGCAGGAGATATCGAGGCTCTTCAAGCCTTGTAGCTTCAACGAGACTGTCTTGGCAAAGTCGCTGTAGGTGGCATCGTCATATACAGATAGGCCCTTTCTCACCATGCAATCCCATTCAAGTCGATCACCGTGGCTCCGAGTCTTGAACATTTTTAGGTGCTGTATGTCGTTTTGGTATGCTGGGTTGATGCATTCCAGAGCATCCCAAAAGCCAAGGAAGCCTCGCCCAGAGATAGGGTTCTTGTAGAGAACCTCGTAACAAGCTCCTAACAGCCGCTGATTCCCGGCTTTCGCTAGACTGACGAGGCCCGCTCCATTATCTGGTGTATATGGCATTCTTCCATGTTCGATCGGATAGGAGTTACCGAACTGGTGCGAAATTCTCCAGTATCGATCTAGTTGTTGGGTCGAAGTCTTATATGTACACTCGGTCTTGTAACTAGGGAAAAGGTCGTCCTCGACAATCTTTTCGGCAATGATGAGCAGCAGCTCATATGGCAGAGAAGTCAACGTGGCCGGAATCATCTTATTCGACAAGGTATTCTGGCTCTTCGGGTGTGATTGAGAAGATTGCATGTCGATGATGTATCTTGAGATCCGTGGGTTGGATCTATTGCAAATGGTTGGCTTTATGTCGACCTTCAATAGGATATGGGTGCCTCTATCTCAACGTTCAGGAAGATATGCACGCCCTTTTATAGGGAAAGATGAGTACAATGGGGAATCAAATTTTGACTCAATCCTCAAGGTAGGCGGTGCTGACCTCTCTCCGACACATACATAGTTGTGGAGGTCGCCTATGGCGGCCCGGCACCCTGCGGAGGAAATCTGTTGATTTCTAGATAACAAGGTACAGTACTTCGACTACCTTACTTGGTATCTTTTGATTGCAGTTGATCTCTTTTATAGTTGGCAGGGGCGTCGTCTTTGCCGAGACTAGGTGGTAACCTTGAGGGCAAAGAACGTGTTCACCTCGGAATACCATCTCGGCGGTTTCTCAGTCGTAAGCAAGCTGCCGAATCATCCAAGTCTCACGCGTATGGATTTAATGAATACGCTCCTCGAATTTCATCAAATATACTGGTATCTAACATTGTCGAACTAATCACAATGTCAATGGCAGTCAGTATGTATCCTTATCGGGTCTTTCCCTCAAATCCTTCAACCAAACAAACCCTGTAGCAAGACAATGCCAAGGTCCTCTTTGAAAATCCTGGCATAATCCAGCGCAAGCTTGCGCAAGAATTGTTTTTCTTCCTCCGTTCTATCCGGGTCATCATCATCAGCAATGACCCGAATATCAAGAACTCGGACCTGCTTATACACATCCCGGCACTGCCTGAACAGAAACTTGAGCAGCCTCTCCATCTCTTCTGAAATCAACTCCTCCAATTTCAGTGTAGAATATTGCATCCCGAGTGGCCAAGAAGGTAGCAAAGCAGATTCAACGAGCCCGTTCCACCTCCCATCTTTTGTCAGCAGCTGGGGCACATGTCTCAGGTCAAAACTGCCATTGAGAAGCTCAATCGTCTCAACAGTCTTCCTAGCCGCGCAGCCATTGGTGTCGCCGCACATGAGCTGCAACAGACTCGCGACCTTGAGGTGCTTCACCGCCCTGAGCCCATGCGCCTGCAGAGGGTACGCCGATGTTGAGAGAATCGTCATCTGCCATTCTATTTCGTACCAAGTAAACGTCTCCAAAGTGTCCGCAAAAGGCGCAAAGGCTTGGGCGTCGTGCGTGAGCTCTATCACCCACATGTCTCCGATAGTAAGAGTGCGCAGCGCCGGGAAGCACTGGAAGAAGTCCTTTTGTGTGTAGGAGCCGCCTGTGGCAAGACGGCAGTTGAAGAGACACAGGTCCGTGATCCGCCGCAAGGCAGGCATATGGGATTCTACAAAGTCGCAGACCACATTGTTCATGTGTCTCAAGGCCAGACGCTCGAGACTGGGAAGTTTGGGAATGGCCCTGAACCAGTGGGCCCGGGACCGTGAATTTAGTCGTTCATAGCGTCCTACGTCGCCGGAGAGCTCCAGAGTCCTCAAATGGCTCAATCCGGAGGGGTCGAGTAGAGGTAGTTTTGGTAGCACGCTTCCCCCCACTCCGCAATCGCGATCACGGTCTATTCGTAGTTGAATAACCCTTTGCTGGAGCTCAGCTCCTGACAATGCCAGTGTAATCTGTAGCTTGCGCGAGTTGATTAACCGCTTATCATCCGTAACGACGATACGTCTATAGAGGAGTTCGGCACAGATGTGTGAGAAGCGGCTGTTGACCCGCGCCAGGCTGAGTATGTCCTTTCTACTCTGTGGGTCTACGGGATCGAGATGCTCTTTGAGGGCTACAGATTTCCCGTAATGTCCCATGTCGCGCGATGACGCTTGACTGTATTCTAGCAACTTGACAACGTCGCCTGGAAAGGGAGAGAGTTCGTCAACAAGGTTGCCGAAGATTAGCAACAGAGTCTCGGTGGGCAGTTGGTTAATAGACATTGTTAGCGATGAAGGATAGTTGCTATCAACCTTTTGTCTCGTGCCAAAAAGTTTTGTGAGTGTCGGATTTGCGTCAAGTTGTCGTTGACTAGATACGTAGACCGATGCATCTGCAGGCTTGGGTTAAGACATCAGATAGAATCATTCTCGAGGGAACCGACTTAGAATACTATCAAGCAAGTGTTTCTCCGAAAGCAGCCTTTTGGCTTGAGAGAAAAAAACATGCTTTTGAGCTGCCATCCGGGTAAAGAGAAGGTGGGCACCATGAGAGCAAGAGATGAAGAGATTTGACCCTCGCTAGTCGTCAAAAAGCTTGACTTGCCCATCATTCGGAGGTGCCCTGCGTATGTAGTAGCAAACTTTCTCAGCGTTTACTTCTCAGCGTTTAGAGCAATTCAGCCTACACATGGGAGCAAGCTATCCAATAAGCTAAACCCTCAATAGACCCCCGGAATAATAGTCCACTTCTTCCCAACCTTCTCCTCCCCAAACTGCCCAACATACCACCGCCTCCCGCTCCTCGCCCTCGGAAACATGACAAAAATCTCATTCAAAAAGAACGCCCTTCCAGGTACGCTCCACCCGCTGGCCATCCAGAACCCAAACCACTCCACCCACTCGCAAAAGTAATGCGGGTACAGCATATACCGAAACAGCATCGTGTCAGGCAGCCGATAATGCTTGTCCACGCCCTTTGCCATATCCGTATTACCCTCCAGCTTCTGTTGCTTCGCAATCTTGGCCTGGCGCCGCTGCTCCGTCCTGCGGATCTCGCGCAGCTCCTCGTCGTGGAAGTAGTTCAGCGTCAAGCCGACGTAGAAGACGGCGATGCCCGCGGCAAACTGCGCGATGCCGCCGCGGCCGAGGGCAGAGTCCCATGCTGAGGCTGTGGTGGGGCCGTAGGCGGCGAGGTAGCTTCCCAGGCAGGTCGCATTCATGAGCTGGAAGAGGACGGCCGAAGAGGCGACGACGACGTGGATCGGGGACATTGAGGGTTGGAGAATCGGGAATAGGACGGCACGGTAGGCGTAGTGGATAGTCTGCAGTGGCGCCCAATTGTCAGTCGACGTAGATCTAGTAATGGGCAATCAAAAAGAGGGACGGGAGATCGTACGAATAACCCAGCGAGCACCTTATTCTGCCACGGCAGATCGTCAATGCCAACCTGCCGCGGCAGGGTGTTCATAATGTACAACAACGTCGTGACGCCCGGAATCTCCATCAGGAACCACGCCAGACGGCCGGGGATGTTGAGGCGGCTCGTGACCGAGGTCTTGCCCATGCCGTACCAATTGATGACATACTGCAAAGAGCCGAACTACACAGACATGCAAAAGTCAGCAAAGGTCAGCCACAGGTGTTTTGACCAAATGGCCCATGGAAGTTGTTGTTGTTGCATACCACAGGCCAGGAAAGCTGCCACACGGTAGTGATGGTCTGCCAGTTCTCCCGCGTCGGCGGGAGCCACCCCTCAATCAGGGACATTTCCGGTTCCTTGTCGACTGGTGAAGGACGATCCAATTGCAGAGAACTAGAGGAAACAGAGTAGCAGAGAGTAGTATGAGTCAAAAAGCCCCAGAAGAACAAGGTATTGTGGCGTGGTGCGCTTTCCCGCCTTCTCAAGTCCCCCACCGTAGATTGTAGGTATGTGGAAAGTGCGACACAAAATCAATGACATCAAGCAGCTTGGGTGGAATTGGCGGCGGGAGCTCCGGGTCTTGGGCCTGCGACGCGTTGAAGCCACGGCTTGCCAGACCGCTTTCCCCATTCGCCTTAGCAATGGCGGGGTTGAAAGAGCTGCTCTGCAAATCGGGGAGGTTCCCCTGAGCATCCTGTACAGCTACCCCTTGCAGCCTCCACCACAGCTTCAGGAACACGTCAAAATTACCGAGTAGAAATCCCTTAACCATTTCTTGACAAATTTCACAAGAATATTCAGAGATCCCAGCGTAAGCTATAGGGCCATGATTCTTCTTCCATTCATCAGCTATCGATCCTATAAAGCCACTATTTCCAACGCCGCCCGCTGAGAGGAAATGTTTGTACAGCAAAAGGCTCAGTCAACTCTGCTTGTCTTAGTCGTAGTCTGTCCATGCTCTGCGCAAGAATTCAAATGATACGAAAACGCCGCAATCATAAAAAGCACTGGAGCTTCTTCTGCTCACATTACGATGCAATCCCTTTCCCTCCCTCCTTGCGAACTTCCTACAACGCCGCCGGGTCCCAGCACGCGCCCGCGACCGGCGCCCATACCTGGCCGCGAGGGCGACAGCGGGAATGACGGCCCGGCACCCCCGTTGCCTTGTCGATTGACGGGACTGCTCGCATGATGGTGAGGGTGTCCAGGAGGTGGTTCGTACTTGGCAGCCGCCTGCGCCTGCTCATACGTCGGCGGGGCATCATCCATGCCTTCGTCAGCCGGCCGATTTACGCCTTGTCGACGAGCAGGAACCGTCGGCGGAACCAGTGGTCGCACCATCTGAGGCGGTTGTCCAGGCTGCCGACCCGACGTGGGTGGTACTGCAGCACTGCTCACGTTGGTGCTAGAATTCCGACGGCTACCGCGAGAAGCAGTTGAGTTGCCATTGCTGTTGCTGCGTGCACCGGTGCCGGTTCGGGCAGCCTGCCTGTCGGCTGCACGTCTAGTCGTGGGCCCTTGTTGCAATCTGGCCTGTTGCTCAATATACTGCTCGCTAAGCTGACTCTCGCGCCGGCGAGCCGACTGCTCTGCCCGATGGCGTTGTTCCTCTTCTTCCTGTAGCTGAAGCGCGAGGGCAAGATCTCGATCCTCCTGCTCATGATTCGGCGACAGGGGCATCTCGTCACCTTGCGCCGGAGCCTCGAGATGCTTGTTGCGGCCGCGGCCCGGCACAGTAGTCCAGCCTCCTTCATTGGCGCTACTCGTGTCGATTCTCGGTCGGTTATGGGCATTGTTTCTCGGAGCAGGTTGTCCCCTGGAGTTCCCTTGTGGTTGCTCCCCGCCCACGATCCTGAAGTCGCCAGAATAGTATTCCGTGCGTTCGCCATTCACGTCGGCTAGGGATTCCCACACAATTTCATCGTGGGTGGCGTAGCCTGCGTCGGTGACGAGGACCAGGAGTTGCTGTGTAGCAGGGTGCCGGTACAGTGTTGAAAAGTGATCGTTTCTAAACAGAATGGCAAATGAGCCCGGTTTCATGGCCTTTGTGATAACCTCCAGTCCAGATGGCGTCAGCTGTGTGGCTGAAGTCTCCAAAAACGCCTTAATCGACTGTATGTCTGAGTATATCCGCTCCTCCTCTTCCGTCAATTCTCCCAACCTCTCCTGCAGCTCCTCGTCTCGAAACAGGAGCGTCTGCACGTCTTCAAAAGAGGCAGCTTGGCGCTCAAAAGCAGGGTAGGCCGGATCATTCTTAGTGGGCAGCCACCCATGGATAAGCGGAATGGCAAAAGCAGCATAGAGCGCCATCTCTCTAGTGTCTTCGAAAGTTCCGGGAATCAAGTCGTCGCGTTCGGTCGGGTGTAAGTGAGTCAAGGAAGTGCGCTTAAAGGCCTTGATGATTTCAGGTGTGGGAACGAAACGTGGATTTACGTTCATTCCTGTGTGAAGCCCCTTCAAAAAGGCATACAGCTGGGATACATCAGGTAAAGCTTCTTGCGTTCGCCTCATCAGCTCATCGACGACCGCGTCCAGTAAGTACCCGAGACTGATTTGCTCTCGAGAGCGGAGGACCTCTATCAAGGCCGTTTCTGATAGAGACGATGGAGTTGTAAGTGTAAGCGCGTTGACCAAGGCAAGAAGAGGGCAAGGGCCGTTAGCATTCTGTACGAGGATGGGCGAAACTCGCGGGTTCTTATCCGCGCTATGATCGTGCCAACGGACGTTCTTGATCTGGTATGTTTCGGCCTTGCCGTCCACAGGACGTGGGGGTTGGCGCGGAGGTTGTTCTTCGTCGTCGTTCCGCGGAGGCAATGCTGGCGCTACCTTGTCGTCGGAGACCTGATCGGGCCTGTCGTGCGTTTGATCCGGCATTTGCGATCTGCCCGGCGGAGGGCCAGCGGGCGGTTCGACGTCGATGAGATTCCAATCATCCATAGGCCCGTCTTCGACTGTGGGAGGTGGGATAACGGAAGCGGGTGCGGGGGCCTTTGCCTTGCCCTTGTTCTGTCCCCCTTCGTCGTCCCAGGCATTCTGGTCTGCAATTGCATCGTTGGGAATAGAGGCTACAGGTAATTCTAGCGGTTTCTTGCTCTGATTCTCCGGCAAGTCGTCCCATGCCGGTGAGGTAGGTTCCGAGGGGAGCGATAGCAGTGCTGGAGAGGTCGAAATGGCGGGCAATTTTGGCTCTTGCGTTGCAGCCCATGCATCGCGCTCAGACTCTCCGCTATTCTGAGTACGCAAAGACTGCTGGGCGCTGGCGGCGGCAGCTCTCTGAGCATGCTGGTCGAGGGCAGGTTGCCATGGATTATTACTGATCTCGCCGGTGCTCATCTGCGAAAGTGGCTGCGCCGGAGGCATCGTCGGGGTCCCGTTGGTGGGCGGTGATGTTGGATTTGAGTCGTCGCGGACTTCCTTGCGCTTGAACGGGTTTGTGTCGGATCGTGAAGGTGGCGCTCCTGGCCGTAATACCAGTGGGATCTCGTTGGACTCGCTTCTTGTCTCGCCGGCGATTTGAGGTTTGTGGCCGTCAACGTCATTCCATACTCCGTTGGTCATCTCGGGGGCCTGTGCCGTGACCCCGCCAGGCTTCAGAGATTCGGGAATGTCTTGGGGTATTGTTTGTTGGTTCAGAGCAGCAGCGCCCCTTTGCTGAGGAGCATCGTCCCAAACACTGTCTACGTCGGAAGGAGAATCGGTTGCGCTCCAAAGCTCTTTCCGCATGTCTTCAACCCGCGGGGCAGCAACGTTGGTGTCGAGTGAGGTCTCGTTGGGGACGGGCTTGCGGGTAACCATGTCGACGAGGGTCCCGAGGTCTCGGACTTGGGTGGTCGTAACGGAATGAACTCGTGAGGGTGGCTGT